TTTCCGCCTGGCTTCCGGCGACCCAAATTGCGGCCCTTCCACCCCCCCCCCCTACACACCCCAATCCCCCCCTTCCCCCCCCCCCCCCCCCCCCCCCCCCCCCCCCGGGGGGCAGCATCGATGCGCCATGACTTGGTCTATCGTTTTTCTAGCCGCCGGATCTAGATTTATCATTCCGTATATCATGTTCTCTGCCTCGGGACCAAAACCCTCTCCCCAGCGCTCGAATCTCATTCCGGCGGTCTGGTCCTTCACCTCCCTATCGGCTACGTCTGACGCTTTCTTCAGAAGGTTATACCAAAGTTCACTGTCGACATGCTTTAGGAGCCCTTCTGGAACGGGCCAAAAATAGCAAAATTGTCGGATCAGTATCTCTTGTTCCGGCAATATACCATGCTTTACTAGCTCTCGGTAATCGTTCAAGAGCAACAACTTCCCGGCCCCCATAGCATATAGAAACTGTGAACATAGCTCACTTACCACTAGTCCAAACGAGAATATGTCTGACGCCTTTGCCGCACTCCGTCCGAACTATCCTTCAGGGCTTCGCCACATGGCATTCCGTATTGCATGAGGGGCATAAAGTGGCTTTCCACCTTTCATCTTGAAAGAGATATCAAAATCGCCTAGGGCCACATCGGTAACTGTTTTTTTTACCTTCACTATCGCAAGTCCAATCGACGAAAATGTTATCACGTTTTATATCTGCCAAGAGAAATTAGTTAGAGTTTTAGTTGCCGTTTTTTACATTATAGAGTGTACCGTTATGGACCCAGTCTTTGGCATGAAGCTCTTGTATTGCCTCTCCTACGCATCGCAGGATCTTCCCCCGTTCCGTCGCACGTAAGTCCGGGTCTTCCTGAATCAAGCTAAGGTGCCTCTGAAATAGGGATAGACAAGAATGGCTTCATCTTGGCTGCAATCAATGTGCATTCGAAACCGATGAGAGCATGCAGATTTGGCTGCAAGGAGGAGGGACAGATCGTACAACGTAAGTCCACGTACGCGCTTGAAGACAAAAGGCTCTTTCCCGGACCTAAGTAGGACAGGTCAGAGATATGATTAACTTGTGAAACGAGGGCATGAAATTGAAGACGTACTCGGCTTTGAAGATACTGAGCTTATGGTCCTGGCGACGCTGGAGTACCTCGCCTTGAACATATACGCGACCAGATTTGACCACTACGGTGGATGCCATCCCGATACTTGTACGGTAGGCAAGCCGACTCAAGGGTGCACGGTACGCAAGAGCCATCGAAGAAGAGACGAGTCGACTGGAGAAGCACGATGAAAATCTCGGTCAAAGGTGAAAGATGGTCAGTCCGTTTAATTGTTTGTGTGTGTATTCCCGGAATGACCGTGGCATCTGTCCACTGTTGGACCTTCATGCACTTTGGTGAAATCACTGCTGTTTGGCTAGATACGCTACTAAGCTATTCAGTGGGCGGTCAACCTGTTGGGGGCGGAATCAACTGCGCGTGCGCAACCTTCCCAGGCGTTTCGTCCAAATTATACGCCACACTATGCAGCTTAATTGAAGCGAGTGTAACCACGGTTGCGTTGGCGGTTACGGGCGGCTGCGGCTGTGGGTGGTGGTGGCAGTAGAGGGGGGGCCCTGTTCCGGTCCCCGCCCAATCAATGGCAATCCCACTTGCGAAAGGGGTAAGGCTTAACGTGCTGTAGGTTCCATTGATATTTTTCTACAGTAGAATAATATACCCATTTAGCTTATCTAGTCAGTGTCGAAAGAGGATGCATGTGACAGGCGTAGAGAGGCGTTCTTGTCAGAGCTAGCAGTTGAAACTGTTGTACAGCCAAGACTAAGCCCCTGTTGGAAGAGGTTAACTGAGTGGCCAGCTTGCGATTGTTCATCGATGTTGCTGCAGGTCATGACGACATAGCACCTGAAGAGGTACCAATCAAGTGGATGAAATTATCGTCCACGCGGAAGATGATTCTTTTTCCTAATTGAATGGCTGATGAAAGTCTCAATAGGTTCGCTAGTTGACTAATCAGCATTATATTGTGAGGAGATAGCCAAAATGGTGGACTGGCTATGGTGCTACGGCCTTGAAATCGAACACGAAAACATCTGCATATTTGTCGGATTCGGCGGGTATAAGTTAAACAGGTGCATAACATGTAATGGCCAAAGAGACCCGTCACCACTATCCGCTTTGATGCTGTTGATGGGTATAAGTATGTAACGGAACTCACGGCCACTGCTTAGGAGCTCTCTTTAGTATTATTACAGCCCCCAAATCAAGTACGATCAAAATAAGAATGCAGTTACTCAAGTATTGCTTCATTTATTATCTTGGAATTACTTGGGCGTACCAGCCATGCTTCCTCAATCCGTCATATGAAACTCAGTGCTGCCGACGGAGTGATTTTGAACCCCAATATACGGAGTATGTTCCTGATTATTAATCATGGTCTTTTTCTTATACATCCCCGGTCTTTTATTTGGCGAACAGCTTTCTGGACAGATCTAATTTTTGCTAATTAGTTGCCAAGACCGTAAGAACGTCTCTTTTACGATGTCGTGGTTTACTCATCATCGATATTCTGTGTGCAAGACACGCTAATATTTTCAGCTCCTGTTAACGCTACGAACTATGACGACTTCAAGGCCACTTGTAAAACTGTTAATGGAATTGCCCTGTGCTGTGGACCTGAATATGCAAGTCTTGATGCTTACCTTCATCCTCCTACCTAGAAGAGACAAATAACGAAAATAGTTCTAATTATGCATACTTTACAGACCAAAGGGAGATTCTGTGTTCCACCGTGCAAGAGCTATTGCGGGTCGAGTGAGGTACGCCGATTGAACTGCTTTTTACAGAGCAGAAGTTGACAGCTAACATCCGATAGTTACGTCGAACATGAAGCCAATACGCCATCCGAAACCAAGACCCTTAGTTTGCCACACAGACAAGAAGTGGGATGGATATTTTGTCGACTGACTCGATCACATATGATTCCAGTGTCCAAAGCAAGGGTTGACAAGCAATATTTCACTATTTCAACCTGGAAAATACTACTCTCCTTAGAATCGATCACTCTGGCTATGTAAAAGTATTTCAGTCGTCTATAGTGTGTGCATCAATGCCTCACTCATTGCTTCTCGGAAACCTTTTTGCGTGATCGAAACCTCCTTTAGACTAGCTTAACCTCCTCTAGTTCAAGCTAGATCCCCAAGCTCCAAGGATCATGTGTTATATGAGCATAAATATCGATTGACTATGCCTCTCCTTCGAATGAACGTCTCAGGTATCAACTAGAACTGTAGACCAGGGGGCAGTTCCATCTCGCTGGGCGGTGTTGTCGCCATCCCTGTATCAGGGCGTTCTTTGAGGACAGGCAGTCTGCGAGCCCATGAAATGGCATCCGCGATGTCGAATCTCGGCTTTCCCATCGGATCCCTGTTGAGGCTGTCTATAATGCGGCTGTATTTCCTCCTCTCGTCTCTGATCTTATTTCGTTCTTCAATAAGGACTCTGAAATCTGTGGTGATTGCGTCCTTGTCTGCCGACGGCACATACGCTGTAGGATCTGCCATGATGGCCTGAAGGAGAGACAGGTTGCGCTTGTGGACAACAAACTCGTCTAGTAGATTGGATGAAATCTGTTGGGCCCGGCTGAAGTCAGGTATGACAACATTTTTATCTGCTGCCCACTTCACGAAACCGCTGTTTCTGTCATATCGAGTGAGTATAGCCCACGTGCGCATGGGTGATTTCTCCACCATTGACGGAAACTTAGCGGCCGCGCTCAGAAGACTATCTAGGGTCCACGCCTCACGGCCTGGATTGATTTGGCCGCCACCTGACCAATTTACTGTGATGGTGGTCTCGATCAGCCCAGGTGCAAATTTGAATGATGAAGCATCAGTTTCATCTCCGGGTTTAGTGTTGTCGGAACTTGTCAAGCGACTAAGCTGTATCTTAAGGCTGCCGCATCTATGAGTTAGAGAAGACTTCGTATCGTGTATGATTTTACTTACAGATTCTCAACCTCAGATCTAATAGAACTATCCAAAACCTTCACAGACACAAGCCCATGAATGACACCACCTTCCAAGAAACCTAGCCTAATTCAGGAATGTGTTCTTGAGTGAAAGGATATGGTTCAGAGTAGATCTGTTCAAACTCACCGGAAATATAGCAGTCCCCGTATATGTCGGGAAACTTGCTTGGGTCACTCTCAACGACTTTTAACGGTATGCTGCGAGGTGTTTGTTAGTTTAGTGCCTTGGGTACCGTGCGTTGCAGCCGCAATACTCACAATCGGGGTTCCTCTTGAGTCCTCGTAGTGCCTGGATCGGTCGCATAAGTTTCGATATATGCAAGAATATGTCGTTTCTATTAAGATATAACTCACTATTGACTACATTTACGCTGATCAGGGCGTTGAAATCGCTAGCTGCGAATTTGTTATCATCGATGTTCACATCAGGAAGCTGAGTTGTGTCCAACTTGACGCTAACAGCTGGCGAGATGTTTAAAGCACTGAATACGTCAGAGATGCTATTGACAAGACGAGAGTTATATGTGACGGTCTGACTGGGCGTAGCAGGGTCACTTGTAGATGCGGTTCGTGGCCGAAACGAGTCTCTTCGTATATCCACGGCGTTCAGCAGACACGGCTCTTGTAAGAATGAGTTGAATCCTTGCCCAAGTTGGAGACCGGCGTTGTAGGGTACAAGAATATGTTCCATCGCAATATCTATGCTCACTTGTGATCTTTCAAAGAAATAATAGTGGAAAGTAACAGTCGCGTGACATCAATCGTAACAGGGCTTGCTTGTATATTGTGTGTTGTTGTTTCTCTGACTCCAGAGCTGACATGAAGTTGGAAAAAAGTAGCCTATCCCCCAGCCACGCCTAAATAACGGGCAGGTTATCCAAACATCGAAGATCGATAATTAAACATCGCCTTAAACTTAACATAGCTAAATGTAGGCTAATATATACAAATACCCCTACAACGGTCCTTAGTATACCTAATCTAACCCTTTTAAAAGTATTGCCCTTATATCTCCTACCGGAACCTATAAAACCTATAAGTAAAAAAACATCCATTTAAAAATAAACGTATATATTATTATTATTAATATATATATTATTATAATTATAAGGTATATATTATTATTATTAATATATATATTATTATAATTATAAGGTATATATTATTATAATTATAAAGCTTTTATTATTATTACTTTATAAAGCTTATTTTAAATAATTATTTATTAATTATTTAATTTTTATACCTTTTTTTTAATTAATAACCTTTAACTTTATTTTTATAACTTTATTTTTAACTTTACTTTTAACCTTTATTATACTTTTAATTATTAATAATATTATATATTTTATAATATTTATTAAAAATAAACTATTTTTAACTTTATTTATTAATTTTATATTAATTATATATTTTTTAAAGTTAAACTATTAAATTATTAATTTTTAATATTATATTTTTAAAATTACCTTTTAATAATTAATTTTTTACTTTTATTAAAAGCTTTAAAGCTTAATAAATTTATATATTTTATAAAAGCTTTATATTTATTATTAAAAATTTTAATAATAAAATTAAAAGTTAATATATAAAATATATTTTAAAATATAATTATATTAATAATAATTATATTAATATAACTTTAAAATAAGCTTTTTTAATAATAAAAATTAATTATTAATTTAAAATTATTATAAAGTTTTATAAAAGTTATAAAATTTAATTTTTTATAATTAAATATTTTTATTATAATTACTTTTTATCCTTTAATATATTTTAATATTATTAAAATAAATTTTTAAATAATATATTATAAATTATTTATAATAGTTTTAATAATTTTATTTTTTATTATAAAATTTATAATTTAATTAAATTATTAAACTTAAATACTTTAATTATTAAAATTAATATTTTAAATTATTAAATTAAACTTTATTAAAAAAAAATAAAGTTTATATATTAATTATACTTTAATTATTTAATATTTATAAGAAAATAATATATAATATTAATATTAATAAAGAAATAATTATATTTATAATTTTATTTAATTAATTAATAAATATTTATAAGTTTAAAAGTTATATTTAAAAGTAATTTTAATAAATATTATATATAAAGTTAATATTTTTAATAAGCTATTTTTTAAAGTTATTAATTTAATTATTTTAAATATAACCTTTAATATAACTTTTATTATATTATATAATAATATTAAACCTTTATATATTTAAACTATTTAATAATTAAATAAATTATAAATTTAATATAATATTATTATTTTTAATATTATTTTTATAAATAAAGTTAAAGGGATTTATAATATTATAAAAGTTATTTAATTAAATGTTTAATTTTAACTTTATATTTAATATATTATAATTAATATTTAAATTAAAATTTAAAATTAATAAAAAAGTTTAATTATTAAAAGCTATAACTTTTTAATTATTAATTAATTATTTAAATTAAATAATTAATAAAAGCTTAATTATATAAATAATAAAAGATTTAAAGCTTTATTAATATTAATACTTTTAATAAAATATAAATTTAATTAAAAAGCTTTATAATATTAATATTATAAAGCTTTAAACCTTTTTAAAATTAATTATAATATTAATAACATTTTTATATTTTTTAATTATTTAATTTATTATAATATTAAAGTTAAAGCTTTTTATTATTAAAATAATTTTTATAATAAACTTTTTAATTAATTAAATATATTATAATACTTTAATAATATTTATTAATAATATTAATATTAATAAGTTTATTATTATATTAAAAAATATTAAAATTATAATATATAAATTATTTTAAAGGTTAAAAGTTTTTATATAAAATTAAAAATATACCTTTAAAACTTTTAAATTAATAGTTTTTAATTATATAAAGCTATAATAATTCTTTTAAAAGTAAAAAAAATAAAGTTTAAATAACTTTAAAGCTATTAATTTTATTATATTTTTATTACTTTAAAGGTTTATATATTTTTTAATTAAATAATAAAAGTAAAAGTATTATAATATATTTTAAATAAAGTTTATAAATAATATTAAATAATATATATTATTTATTAAAAATATAAAGTTTTATTTTATTATATTAAAAATTTTATTTATTAATAAAGTATATTTTATTATTATAACTTTTTTAATTAATTAATTTTAATTAATAAAAAAAATAAAATATATAATATTTATTTATAAAAGAATTATAAGCTTTAATTAAATAATTTTAATATTTATTAATTTTTATAAATTAATTTAATATAAATTAACCTTTTATTATTATTTAATAACTTTTAAACTATTTAAAAATTATAAAAGCTTTAAAATTTACTTTAAAATTAATTAATTAATATTATATTATAATTTATATAAATTTAAAGTATTTTTAATTTATATAAATATATTAATAATAATTATATTTTTTATTAATAAAAAATAATATTATAAAAAGGTAAAAAAGATTTTAAAAGGTAAATTAAATTTATAATATTACTTTTATTATTAATTTTTTATAATTTAATTATTAAATTATAATATTATAAACTTTAAAAGGTTTAAAAAAAGTTAAAAATATAAAAAATATAATTATTTATATTTAAAAATAAAATATTATTATTAAAAAAAGTTATAATAGCTTTATAATTAAATAATTAAAATATTTTAAAATAATAAGCTTTATATATTTAATTAAACTTAAATAAATATTATTTTTAACCTTAAAAACTAATTAATTAAATAAAAAAAGAGGTTATTTTTAATTAAAATATATAAATAAATTATTATTTAAAAGCTATTTATAAAATATTTAATTAAACCTTTTTATAATTAAATTAATTTATATATAATTTTAATATTAAATATATTTATATTAAAAGTTTTAAAGCTATAAATTCTATTAATTTAATAGTTTTTTAAAGGTAATATAAGTATTAATATCTTTATAAAAAAGTAATAGTATTTAGGAAAGTATTTTTATTTTAATGGAATTGCTACCTATTTTCAGATATTAACTTAGGCAGACCTACCAGTATTATAATAGGTAGGTTATTTAAACATTAAAGATTAATAATTAAATATCGCTTTAAATTTAATATAATAAATATTGGAGCAATATTTAGGACCCCCTTATTTTCCTATATAAATTAGGATAGTTAAGGATATTATATAAATGTTAACAATATTAACGGTCGGACTTGGATTACTGTTATAATATTAATGAATCTGCTTAAGTTAATATTTAAAAATAGGTAGCAATCCTATTAAAATAAAGATACTCTCCTAAATATTATTACTTTTTTATAAAGATATTAATACTTATATTACTTTTAAAAAACTATTAAATTAATGTTATATTATAATATCCTAAGGCCCTTAAAGTATATATACTTTATATATATTACGTACCCTTCCCGTATACGCTTCGAAGGAGATTCTTTCCTTCTTTAAGCTTTAGTTTTATTAAATACCTATTATAAGATTAAAGAGATTTATAATATTATACCTAACTTTTAAGATTTAACCTACCTGTAATAATTTTAAAGCTTCCCTTTAAGGTTACTTATAATGTTATTAGTTATAATATACTTACGTATAAATAAATAATTAAAGCTAGCGCTTTTTTAAGAAACTTAAATTAAAGAGAGTTTTTAACAATAGCTTAAAAACGAAGCTAGTATAATTTATCTTTAAAAGAACAATAAACCTAAAATTAGCTATTAAAATCTTTTAATAACCCTAATCCAATAAACGAAGCTAACGCTTAATTATTATAATAAATAAACGCTTAATTCCTAATTAGAATTATAAAGTTAAAGAAATAACTTTTTAAAGGAAAGAAGGTTGCTTAAAGTTTAAAGGTAACCTGTACCCCTTTTAAATTATATTTAAATAAAAGAAAAGAGAACTTAAAAATATTAAGTTTAAATAAATTAAAGTATTGCTTTAACCTTAACAATTTATAAACCCTTAATAATTAATAATGCTATTAGGATTAAAAAAAGGGCAATCCTAATAATAATAACCTTTTATTATCTAACTTTAATATAAAGTATAGTTGGAATAGTTATGTATATTAATTATATTTAAATTATATATACTATTATAGATGCCACTTTTTCAAGGAAGCTAATTTAAGCTAGCTTTTTAAGTTTAACTATAACCCCCTTAGTATAAAGTTTACCTATTTAAAATAGTTGGAATAGGTAAAGGAATTAAAAACTATATTTTATAAAGTTAATTATAAATTTAAAATTAATACCCTTAAGATTCTTTATATATATAATAAAATAAATAAGGATTATAAAAATATATATTAAGTTATAAAAAGAAGGTTTAAATATATAAAAAGGAAGTAAATGGAGTTTAATTAGGATATATTTTTAAATTGGATTAAAACCTTACTACGTTAATTATCCTTCCTATAAGCTAGTATTAATATATAATTTAAAAGGGCTATATAATATACTAATTAGGACCTAAGATTTTTTAACCAATATTTAACTAATATCGAAAGTTAAAACTTAAAACGAAGTAAGGGTAAAAGAGCTTTATTATACTATTGAAAACTAGGTGGATTCTTATAAAAGGAATTAATAAATTTCTATAACCCTTTATTGAAGATTAGGACCAAAATAGTTAACGTAGTATAATAACGCTAGGAATTAATAAGTAAGGATTAATGGGCTAACTATAAAAGAAAAAGGCCTAAACCGAAGAATACCCGAACCAATAATAAATTACCCACGAATATAGGTTAAAGCTAAAGTAATAGCTAAGCTATTAATAA